ACAGACAGACAGACACACACACACAACACACACACACATGACTCGATTTGAGAGCTATCTCCCAAAGAGAAACCTACTAACAGTCTTCCTGGGCTGCATCTTGCAGGGGGCTGAACCTCTGCCGTCACAATGGACAGGAACAAATTGGAATGAGCGGCAAACTCTTGGAGCATTCAACTGCTGGGAGCCCGATATCCAAGCGCCTGATTGCCTCGCGCGAAGGAACCCGAAAACTGCCAAGTTCAGATCTCAAACCCTTGAGATGCCTGCGAGAAGAGCCAGGCCGCTGAAGCCTGAGGCTGTGAGGCCTCAGAGGGATCAGGCTTCGGGGAGAGATAGACAGACAGACAGACAGACAGACCGACGGACAGACAGACAGACAGACAGACGTAAATACATGCACACATGCAGACATCCTCGCAACTCTGCCAGTGTGAGCACTTCCGTACTCCCTGGGCACGGACAAGACTCTGCACTCCTAAAGACCCACGCTTTCCAACAGACCAGAGCCAAAATCCCTCGAAAGCCTTCAGCTAAGTTAGGCCCCGGCGTCGACGCCTCGTTGGGGGCAAGTCTTCCGTTGAGCCATGGTTCGGGGTGATTTGATTTGCAGTAGAAGCTCGCGTCTCTGAATGCCGCATTATGCGATTGTGTAGTGGTCGAGGGTGCATCCGGTTTTTTGCACAAGAGCTTGCGGTTTAACCAGCGGGGCTTAGACGAAGTGGACATCTCAGAGTTTCCCTTGCTGCGGTCAGGTGCTGCGACTCGACAACGGTGGAAGGAATCACTGGCCGGTCCAAGTTCAGGGCTTCGTGGAAATTAGAAAGTAAAAACTGTTCGGGCTTCAAGCATTTGGGGGGTCGATTGCAGCCGTCCTCCTATCGAAGCTGAACTGCTCTTAACGCCCATGGCGAGCGTGGACGCCTCTGGGCAGCCGCATTGGAAATTGCTTGTTATCAGAGACCGACTCGGAATCCCCGGGCTCGATACAACAACTCAATTCCTGATCGAAGAGCTTGCTATGCCCACTGGCCCTACACACCCAAGAAACCATCTTCTCGTGCGTCAGTTCTTCCGGGTTTCCACGCGCAGGCTGTCCGTGGAACCATCGCTGACCAGCAACCGCCGGGTATGAGTGTCCACCTCCAGCACCTGCTGCTCGCTGGGAGTCTTTGGTCTCAGCCCTTCGGATCGTGGCAGCAGTAGGGTCACAGGGACTCTGAATTCGGCCATAAACCCTCTAAACTGTCATGCCCAGCTTTGGTGGGGTCCGTGGATCCCGAGCTTCTTGAACAACGACCTCTGAAGCTTGGTCAGCCCTTTAATCCTCAGCCGACCTGGACCACAAGGTCTCGATGCCCTCCTCTACCCAGAAGCTCACGCGCCGTGACCAGGTACCTTTCGTCCGTCTTGGGCAGAAGATTCCGGAACCGTGTTGCCAAATGCCGGCTCTATATTCTCCTACTTAGTTCGAGATAATCAGGCATCGATGGAACCAGGAGGGCCCGATACCGATGAAGAAAAATAGAACTGGTGCTTCATGAGTACTCCTGTCCCTGTTCTACACGAACCCCTCGAAAACTGACAGCTGCACCTAGACTCCTAAGCACAAGACAAACCTTGCTGACAGAACCGGACATGTCAGGCTTCAGCTTTGCACCAGATGCTTGTGATACATGGCATCACTAGTCCGAAGGCGAAGCCTGAACAGGGACTACCCGAGGCAGAAGAGGGAGAGCAAAAGCACATCAACACAAGGGCCCGGGGGCCCGGCCCAGACATGGTTTCCTGCTTGAGGCGTCGCTGGATCCACGCCTGCTCACAACGAGCTCGGAGTGCAGAGCCGAATGCATGCCCCTTCCTGCCGAAGCTGTGATTTCAATCACTGGTCGATCAGATGCCAGGATACCGAATGAAACTCTGCTGGAATCGAAGCTACGAGTACGCAAATTCGGGCTGACATATCCCGCCCATATGTCCTGCAAGGAGCGTGCACGGGCAAAGTCGGATTCCACGACCGTGTGCTTCTCGCCTCCGATGGGTCCTCGAAAGCTCAAAACTCTGCTTGCTTGTAGGACTTCTGTGCGCACATCGAGGCTCTGACCGGAGATTGCACCTGCCATGGGACTGGTTTGGGCTTGTCCCTGGAGTTTTCGGCTTCAATTCTTCATGGTTTCACGGGGAGCTTTGTGTGGTCAAGGCTGGAGGGCCCGCGTGTGTAGCTCCAGGGCAGGAGTGCCAAACCCGAACGGCTGCAAAGCATGAACTGGTCGACTGCTCCCTCCTAGCTGCAATTTCGGACTTTCCAAGCTTCAGGTTGAACCCGATGACCCAGAAGTCTAAGAATCCATCGAGACTGACGTCCATGCTTCGGATACACGGGTTTCTGGTGGAGCTGAAGTGTGCGTAAGGCATGCATGGAGTTTCAGTCAACCAGTCCACTGTCTGTCTGTAGCCCGAATCTGGTTTCGGACTTACCGCTGCAGAAGCTTGACAGGGTTCTGCACAAGGCCTGGAGAGGCAAGGTTCAGCAGCAAAAGACCACCCCCAAACATCTGCCAGACAATGCGATAGCTTTGACATCTCCGGTGCCAACCACCTTAGCCCTTCTTGACAACACCTGAAGCTCAAGACACCGAGGAGGTCTTGACATGTCTTGACCTCGGAAAAAGCATGAACCCACAAGCTGAAAACCCAGCGCTGCGCAACTGCCTACGAAACCGCATGTAACCAAGGAGTAGAAGTCTCAAGAGTGCGCCGGGATGGCGGCTCTGCATTGGGCCCTGGGCCTGCGGGCAGCCATCATTTGCAGAGACTCAGTTCAGAAGACATATTCGCACTTCTGGCACGTTCTGGTACAACGTGACTGTAGTGCACTTGCCCCGCAGACCAAGGATAGGTGCTCCGTCACAAAGAAAGCCTCTTGCAAAGCTTGTGCATCTACCAAACACGAGACCCCTAAGCCTTGAGATCCAGCGTCCTGGGTTGTGTTGCATCTCATCATATTTCCAGCTTGACGCTGAGTCGAAACTACAAAAGAGCCTCGCCGCTAGGAACCAGCTTCTATTGAAGCTTTCAAGACTGACTCCAACCCTGGGAGACACCAGCGAGCGTACGAGCTGCAGAGCTGAAACCCCGCAATTCGAGATCCCTACATCCTTCCCTTACTATAAACCGCCGATCCGCAAAGCCCTAGGCCCTAGACCATCCTAAACCACCGAGACTCTAAAAATATAAGGAATTCGAGGCCCAGGGCCTGGGTGTCCACGGACGTCGCGGGGCAGGGGAACGTGATGACGGAGGACATCCTAAGATTTCGGGGGTCGGCCCCGAAGGCACCGATCTGGGTGTAGAAGGTTTTTGCGGGTTCTAGAATACGGTGCTAAATAAGGGTTTTACAGGATTGAAGGATTCATTATGAGACCCTCGGCTTTCAATGTACTTAGATGTACTTAAGAGTCTATCCGAATGAGACACCTGCTTATCACCAAGTCCCCTCATAAGCAGACACCAAAGCCTGAACAGCCCCGGGCGCTCGTACACACCCTGAGGCGCCAGTTGCGATTCCAGGCTCTTGCGATCCAGCACCCTGTCATGCGCTCGTCTCAACAGGGGCCCCGGCGATTGCTGCCGAATGTTGATGTAGCCTCAGTCAAGGTACAAAGAGCTTACATGCTTAGGGCCTCTTTTCCAAATCCACACAACCAAACCTCTTGGATCTTCGAAGAATCACAACGTCGTCTTTGAAGGCTGCCAGCTGCTGTGCAAGTGGTCAGAATCCCCAGAGAAGGCATTGAACATGGGGTTGGGTGGAGCATGTTCTGCACTCAACGCATCGAGCTAGCACCACAGCAGCAACAGCAACTTGAGGAACACACCCTGACCGGGAGCAGGGTTCAGGGTAC